TTTCGATAACACTCGATAAAAAGCCAAACGTAAGTCTACTACAGATTGTGGGTCCTTCTTCAGATTCCGTTCCCAGCTTTTCGTACTCCATATATGGATTGTGTCTTGTTTGGTGTCAAGTTCACTTCTGAATGCTTTGTTTTGTCTGGGTTGATGTTGCTGGTAATGATATTATTGATATCTTTGCTGTAGTTGTTCACCAAGTTAATTTTCGTGACTTAACCTGAAAATGAAAAGATCTATTACTTATCAAAGACTTCGCACGCACCCTCTTTCCAAAACAAGGACGCATTTCGGAAAAGGCCGAACGGTTCAGGATTACAACTTGAAGTAAGTTCTAGTTTAGGGAGTAATATTTTGAATCAAGAGAGAATGCCTTATCCTTCCCTTTTCGAACTTAGTACAGGTGGAGATTCGTTTCTTCAAACCGCGAATATATCAAACCACTCAAGATTTTTAGGTTCCAATTGCTTTAACATTTTAACTTTCCCGAGACGATATAAAAATTTTCTCGGGAAAGTTACCTATCCATTTACTATTTGCGCAGAAATCAGCTTTTGTAGAACCATAGGATTTTGTTATGAAGTAGGTTGACAAGGCCATCTTTTAATTCACACCCTAATAAGGATATGTCTGTGCAGGACTATTTGGCTAATGATTCGAGGAGGAAAGGTTAATCGGCCAAGTCGAATGGGGTTGTTACTTTGCTGCGCTCCTGAAACATTTCCTCATTATTCAATGCGAAAAATTTTTGGAAGTCGAAAAACATTATAAATTTATAACAGGGACGCGAATCTACTGGAGCTAACGTTGATTTATCAATGTATGTCGCCAGAATAAATTAGGTCGTCGTCTACTGGTCATAATTAAACCACCTAGTCTCCTGAAATGTGGTGGTTACTTAAAAGTGCCTTGGAAATCTGATTGGAAGTTTTCTCTTTAGTGTTGCTTTCTTATTAGCTGAGAAAAAAGTGTGATTTACTGCAAAGAACTGTGCGATTTCTGAATATTTCCTACTGCTGAGAGGCAATCAAATTGCAAGGATCACCAAAAATGGCTGTTAGAAGGATTTGTAACTAAGGGGTGTGATGCGAGTTTTTTGTGTTCTGTGTGGAATATACTAAAACAACTGTTAACCTCATTGTCGGTGAAAGTGGTGGATATTTTACCTAGCTGCTTCGTGGTTAGGTAAATATCAATTGCTAATGTTGTTTACGCAAAGGGAGTTGGGTTTGTGGACCCATGGAATTTAGAATTATTTTCATTACAAATTGCCGCATAAATCATGTGAATTCGCTTTTTATGGGATTGCTGGAGTAACGCAAGTATTTGAATGCTCAAGTTATGTTTATGCAGAACTTCTAGCTGACGATATGAAGAGGAGAGGTCAGTCAACCAGATGGATATTAAATATTTCACCTTACGTGCATTTGGATAGTGGAAAGGCAGTGTAAACCTACGAGAGAGGTACAAAGTTTCTGGAGGTAGCCACGACGGGGCCGACGCTTACACTTATTTGTAGCTGATGATTAAAGAGAAATTGAGAAATTGAGAAATTTAGAAATCTACTCCTGATATAGATTGAAAAATATTCTGATCTACTCAGTTTTATTTTCTCGATATGAAGTAAAGCGTAATTCGAATTCCGCTAACAAAAACTAATTTGGGAGAGAAATGCATCCATCGAGTATTTGGAAAATTGACTAGATTTGGCAACGCTAACATCAACCATTTAATGAGTAACAGTTTTTTTAACTGGTTTCTGCTTTTTGAAAACTGAAACTATACAGTAAAGCAAGGCTTCACTGTATTTAAATTCTAGTTCACTGAGAACAAACATTGTTTAAATGAAAAGAAAAATGAACATACACTGTATCCATTTGGTTGGCAATGGAAGATCTTACAACAGATTCCTAGTCTGTGCAACAAAACTGTAACAGCATTGAATTGTATTTCAATTTTTCCAAAATGTAACACAATAGTTGAATAACAATTTCTCGCGCTATTCTCCTTTGCAGTAGTCCTGGTTCTCTATTGGTGGTCGCTAGTCATCGCGTGACAGTTTGAAAATTAATCACAAGGAACTCTACTTAGTACCAGATTTGGGTTATGTATTTATTTATTTTCCGCTAAATCGTGTCATTTCCTTCTCCTTATTTTCGTCAAATCGTTCTCCCGAAAGCGTGAAGGTGATAGAGAGAAAATTTACCTATTAGCCATTACTGGTTCAGCTGACTGACGCAGTTTGCAGGTGTAAATTTTACACTTAATGGCATTAAGGTGGAAGTCAGCCGGTTTTCAATTTCTTTTATCATTCTTCAATCAACAAATGGAAATTTTAAGAAGTTTACGTAATTTTGAACATGACTACCTCTTGCTCAAACTTAGTGATGGAGACTTAAGAGAGACATAATTTCTTCCTTATTTTGCTTATAATTTCGATTGGTTTATCAAACATCTGATTTTCGCTTACGGGAAAATCAGTCTTGGAAAAGATAATGGTTTTGACTTCTCTTTCATTCGAGGAATATATTGACATAATTTAATCTTGCGTCATGCTTTAGATCAAAATCGGCGACGATGCTTAATATAAAACAATGCCTTGTATNGCAGTAGGCCTGGTTCTCTATTGGTGGTCGTAGTCATCGCGTGACAGTTTGAAAATTAAAGATGATCTGGTTTAGGCATCCTTTCTGAGACCGCTGAGAATTCTTCAAACTGACTAAACCGGTATTTCATGTAGTCCTCCTGTTTGGCCATTGACCTCATATTACGGCATGAGCATGGCGCATGTTCATGTGAGTATGATGGCAACATTCTTGGCGAAAATCCAGCCTGCCAGGTAAACCGTGGAAGATATGGGCCGTGGAAAGCTGGATAAAACAGATTTTCAGGGTGATGCTTACTATACGGTGGCAGTGAAGGTGGAGGCGGAAGCTGGTCAAACTGTTTCGGCCGGCTGGTTCGATGGACATCATTTGAGACTTTCGCTTGTTTCCGTAACTTGGCTCGACGATTTTGGAACCATAACTGAAAATATGAAGGTAAATAGTCGTTAGTAACTTGTGTCATGCGGCTGGACAGAAGGCTGTTAATGGTTTTGGTAATATAAGTTAAATACCTAATAAACATATGCAAAAACCAGAATCAAAGGAAAGTGTGAATAAGTGTGGATACACTGCGCTTGAATGAGTTTTTGGATAATTAAATTCCAATGGGTGACTCCCCGATGCAGTTGAAACTTCTTGGTATTACTTTGAACTGCTGGTCAGAGTTCACATTTTAGCTATCAGTACAAAATACAGACTGCAAACCGGTTACGAAATGCAGACTAGGTACAAAATGCAGACTGCAGACTGCAGATTGGGTACAGAATGCAGACTGGAAATTTTAAAAACTGTTATTTCGTCTGATACATGATAACATATGTCATCTAACAACTCACCGATTATGTTTTTAAAAAAGCGGCCACAATCGTTCTCAAATAAAATTTCAAGCCATCGTATATTAAAAAAAAAGACAGCTTTTGTATGTGTTACGAACTCTTGACCTTTTAAACCGATATGAGTACATTTTCAATTTGTTGACAAAAATGTTGACTTAGACCAAAACTGTTTCTTCGACTTCACATATTTTTAACGTTCAGGGGTGTACACACAATGATTTTCACAAATTAATGTCTGCGTAGTCACCAAACAGACGAAAGGTAAAACCATCAGAAAAGTTAATAATTAACCAGTCACAAAAACAACGCTTCGCTTTCTCTATAAAAATTTTAGCGATATATAACGGTATAAATTCTGACGGCTCGCAGTGAGAAGAATACAGGCTTGAACCTGTATTTAAAAACGATTGTGACCTGGGCACTTTGTAAAAATACGAAACATACCCGGGAACGGCGAGGAATATTCCACATTATTAAAAACTGGATCATTGGATAATGCAATTCAAGACTTTTTATTGGCTAAGCTATTATGGTATATGGCAATATCTGTACATTGTACGCGCCTCGTTGGCTAGCTATCATCTCATATCCAACGCGCGCTCGTGGAATAATTGTTAGATAATGCAAATAATGGCGAAAGATGATCGCGGAAAAGCGATTGTACCGAGCGTCTTCACTCATAGTTACATCTTTAGGCTTTCAAAGAGCTTTAATTCGGTTACAAGTGTGCTAACTGCGACGAGTATTTTAATTACAATCGAAACTTCTTCGAAGAAAGGTCGAGTTCAATTTTAACGTCGCACCATTACTTCGGAAATGTAATAGAGGCGTCCCGTATAATTTTGGAAGGTCGCTATCAATATTGATCTGCCGTCGACATGTCGACTTGTTTACATCTGAGTGAGTGATACATTTGCATATTCTGCTCTTTCTAATAGTCTGAAAAGGACTCGGAGCTTTGCCAAGATATTTATGGAAATAATGTTGTTTCGAGACCAGTCTCGAAAGGAGATTTGATACTTAATGAATTTTTAATAAGTGAAACGAAAAACTAAATTCATCAAACTGGTAATGCCTCATCCTTACGACGACATTTTCTGATATTTCCCTGTATTCCTGAGATCAAGTACTTGTGACCTGAAAACCACCCTTTCTGCCTTTCGTGGTTTTCGTTCGTACTTTTACACTTTTTTCTGACATCCACTCTCAAAACAACTGTATACTTGTATGAAATGTTCCTAAATTTTTAGGAAAAGAGATTCAATTGCACAAAGAAAAAGCCTTTAACGCGGTAACCAAAAAGATAAGTTAAAAAATCTTACCCGTATATTCCTTGTAGTGAGTCCAAGTTTTTGTACTAATTCGTCTTCGTCCTCGGGTATCAAATAAGGTCTTTGTGCAAACACTCTCTCCATTTCCCAGATTTCCAGAGGTGAAAACGTGGTTCGTTGCTTCCTTGTCATCTTTGGCCGCGCGGGGGTTGGACTGCATTGGTTTGTATCGCTGTCCACGTCAGTCCTCTGGTTGTCGGTGTCAACGCTCGGCAAGTGCTCGTGGTTTTTACGGCTGTCCTCTTTGAAGTTCCCTTTACTGCTTTCGGTAGTTGAGTTATCATTAGCTGAAACGACACAAAAGATCAAAGAATGACTTCATTCATTAATGGCTAAATATGTAAACATTTTAGAAATTAACTATATGCATCAAGCTTCTGAAACCTAAGTCTCGAAGCAAGGCCTGGAGGTTATCATTTAGATACTTTATTCAAAGTACAACTACAGAACATGGTTAATCCGAGAATCTAGAATTAATCTGCAAACCTCATCGTTTGTGCCGGTGTTGACCACTTTTCGTGTAAGTTGAGCACTTAAGGCCATGTATTACCGAGAGATGGTATTCTCTTGGTTTTCCAAGGATACTGATTAAGTCGTATTTCTTTCATTGAAGATTGGAAGAAAATGATTATCCAAAGTCGTTATTTTCCTTGGACACTTAAATGACTGGAAATACAATCAGGGAAGTCCCTTAACTTTCTCTCTTTCCTCGTAAATAGCATTTATTAAAATTTAAAGCGAAATCGTTGAGAAATAGACTAAAACACTTAAGATATAAGGAATGCAACTTACCAGGAAGCAGCGAATATGACGAAGAATGAAAGGAGTTGCCTTCACACCCCAAAATCCGGGAAATGGAAAAGGAAACTGGTTGAGTGGAGACCGGTTCAAGCATAGGTCTGTGTGGAGGCAGACTGGCTGAAGGCTTTCCAGGTGAAGGAGCCACGGACGAAGAGTTCAGCGGAACACAAATTGAAATATCCACATGCGAAGCCATCGTTAACAGACAAAAACACAGGATGCGTCTTCTGTCCTTATCTGAGGGATTTGAATGCAGCTTTGCGGAGTTGTTACTTATATAGAGGTGTAGCTGTCAAGTAACAAGATTAAAGGCGGCCGATTTTTTGGCGTCTTAGAAGCACTGTTCTCACCTTTCGGCCTGTTCGTGTCTTTCGGAAACCGAAAAAAAGAGATTGCGTTCCGAAGTTTTACGGGGCCGCTCTTATCGTGCAAGTCGGAAAATTAAAAAGCGCTTCCGCGCGCTAACTTCAGTCGATTCCCGATTACTCAAACCCAGCCCAACTTCGAACGAAATTCGACTTCTTGTAGAGATCTGCAACCTTTACCTTTTTCCTCGAACCCAAGATCAATGGTGTCTCATGCTAATTTCAAGTACTATTCATTTCCCCTTAAACCATTTCTTCATCACAGTTCACTAACCACGACAGTTTAACCGCTCTAGTTCAACCGTGATTATGTATTAGCGACAGTTCGTGACGGTACCCGAGAAAGCCCGTACCTATTTGTTTATTCTGTTAAACTGTTAAGAATGAATGTTTAAATTGACCGACTGAAAATCGAAAAATGTGGTCCATAATAGAAATATTGAAAACCTTCATATTTTGCCTAGAGATACCTTATAGTCAACTTAGAAACGTGGTAAGGTTCTTTTTTTCCTAAACTAGCTTCTCTATCCCAGAAAATTCACGAAAACTGAAACGAGCGTCGTTAGCCGTAAAATGGCGGAAGTCAGTCCCCTGAGTAGAAGCAAATGAACTTTGCGCATGAAAAGCGCAAAAGAAAGCAAGTTCGTATCAATCTGACGAATTTGTATAGGAGGGATCGAGGTAGGGGTTAAGTCTAAATCAGGACCATTTCATTTCATTTTGAGCCCACGCAAAGAAAAACACACGTGTAAAACAGACCTTGGAGACGTGTTTAATGACTTTTCCAACGGATAAGATAGTCTATGTTATAAGATTGGTTACTCATTAAGTTGTAGACGGAAACAAGATATGCTGTTAATAATTTGTAAAGCCCTCTATAACAGTATGCCTCAGTATATTCAATATCTATTTCAAGTAAGAATAAATAATCATGAGCTTAACCTGAACCGATTCTGAGTTATATCGCACGGGGAAAATGACAATTAAAAATTTCCTACCTGAGCTCAAAATTAAATGGTTCCGTTTTAGACCATAGACCATACCTCTATCCCTCCTACAAAAATTAATCGAATTGATACAAGCTTGCTTTCCTTGCGCTTTTCATGAGCAAAGTTCATTTGCTTGTACTTGGGGCACTGACTTCCGCCATTTTACAGCTAACGACGCTCGTTTCAGTTTTCGTGAATTTTCTAGGTTAGAGAAGCTAGCCTTGGAAAAAAAGATCCTTATCACGTTTCTAAGTTGACTATAAGGTATCTCTCGGCAAAATATGAAGGTTTTCAATTTGTCGATTTTCACCGGGTCAATTCAAACATTCACTCTTAACGGTTTAACACAAAAACGTATAGGTACGGGCTTTCTCGGGTACCATCACGAACTGTGCTAATACATAATCACGGGTGAACTAGAACAGTTAAACTGTCGTGGTTAGTGAACTGTGATGAAGAGGCACAGGTGGGTAAAGAACATCTTCGCGATGAAATCCCCAATCGCAACTAGCAAACAGGAGGAAAAGCTTATATGATATTACCTTTCCACAGAACGTAAGAGCGACGAGTTGCTAATTAACAATTATTCGCCGAAGGCGAGGTGAATATCGTCGAATAATCCCCGAGACGAAGTCGAAGGGGATTATTCGACGAGGAGATTATTGGACGAGGGGATTATTCGACGATATTCACGGTCGATTTTCGACGATATTCTCGGTCGCTGGTACAGACCTCGCTGCGTTCGGTCTGTACTGGGGACCTCGGTCAAGATTCTCCCATACAGACCTCCCGCTCGGTTGATAAGAACTAAATAGAAGGAACAGCTCGACCAATCAGATTGCTGAAAACTCTTTGCTCAGCTCTGAAATTATACTAATACCAGTTATCGCGTGGACAGAATGTCTTCAAAGCGTGCAGTCTTCTCTGAACATAATAGAGCGAATTCGTTTACGCTGACTTGAACCGTTTTTCTTAATACAATTAAAAGCAGGAAATCAGAAAAATGACGATCAAATTGGTAAATCGCAGCCGCGGTCAAAAATTAAATCTACCTTAATTTTCGATTTTTAGGTAGCTGTGAACGAGTTTTCAAAGGTTTCGGGTCTTATTTTTCAACGTACCGCGGAATTTCGGTAATGTTTGAGAAAATCGATTTCGCGCTCTCCATTGCAAAAAATAGCTGTATAAATTAGCCAAAATAAGCATTCCCAAGAACGTCCTTGCGTCTTGCAAGGTACTGCTTTACGATGGACTCAAGGATTAACATTCGGATAACGTTGGGGACAGTCACTGAACCTCATTTGTTGACAATTTGATCATGGTCTTATCTCCGAATGGTAGATCCTGGATAACATGGGGACTAGTTATGAAATCCAAGAAGTGGTCGACCTGTGCTTGTGATACAAATAATTTTGTCTGCGTTGACACCTCTCCCACGAAGCAGTGCGTGCTTTCTTGCAATACTGAACTTGTACCGAGTAAGACCTGGGGTCCACTTCTTCAGAGTTCGGAATGTGACTTTGTCCGCCATTATCGAAAGTATTTGTCGTCGGGTATTCCAGGTGCTTGCATCACCGTAGCACTCCACCAAAGCATCCATGAGTACACTACCCAAATCCTCTGCACCCTCACCACTTTCGCTGTCATTTGAAAATTGTTTTTGATTCCCGCTCATATAACTTCTATTGACAATGCGAGGACGTTCTTGCGAATACTATTTATGCTAATTTATTCAGCTGTCTTTAGTCATGGAGAGCGCAAAATCGATTTTCCCAAATATTTCCGAAATTCGCCCGTATTTTGTAAATTTAACTCCGAAACCTTTTTAAAGTTACCAATACCTCCCTTCAGACGTAAAATGAAGGTCTGTTAAAGTTTGGCCGTGACCAAGCTTTGATCAAAATATTTGTGCATTTCCTCCTGACACCAGTTGTGAATATTTGTTCAATAAACCAATACTACAAAGGGTGATGACTTTTGTCGACTGTAAGTCACAAAAATAAATTTAGTCAAATACTAAGTTTCTAAAACCCCTCTTTGTCATGCTCTGGTTGTTAAGAAGAACGGTTGCCCCGTGATCTGTAGAACAACCGCAACCTTCCAAAGGTTTGTAAAGGCTGGATTACCGGGCTCGTCGAAATGTCTAAGGTCGGAATCATCTGTTGTTTTTTTTCTTTTTTCTTTTAGCTTCTAAAGCGTTACCTTGCTGTCACTTGTCCTGAGTATGTTTGCACTCTGTTTAACTACATTAAACAAGAGAAGAGACCATCGCTTTCTATTATTACATAAATTATTCACCCGTGACATGCAACATTTTACCTATAATGTGACCCACGCACGACAAGCGAACTGCGACAGTAACATTCTCCTATGGAAGAATTCGAGTCTAATCAGTTTTGAGCTTCTGTGCATGGCAATTGAAAGAAGGGCAATTTTGTTCGGTTATATTCCAGCAGTTTTTCTTAATCACGTGTTTGTGAAAACAAGAATCATGAACTGACTTATAGGTCTTTATAATAAACCAATACGGCCGGCTATTAACTCGCGGTCTAACCCAAACCACGATTTTACGAAATCAGTGGGTCTCAGATTTTCTCTATGAGAGGGTCGATTTAATGAATTAAATATCCTTCCATGGTTAGTTTTCGGCCCTCTTGACACTGTTCTCAAAAATAAATGTTCATGTTAATTAAGTAAATATCCTTCCATGGTCAGCTTTTGGCCCTCTTGGCACTGTTCTCTAAAAGAAATGTTCGGATAAAAGGTCCAGCTCCATTGAGAATTGTTTAGGACGGCTAAAATTTGCTTTCGTAAGAGGCCCAAGGAGTTGATGTTCGCGGCCATGAATTGTGTTATGGGCCTGACTGAGAGTCTTTTTAGCTCGAGCTGTTATGAGAGGGGTCCAAAACAAATTTATAGCCAAGAGCATAAACTATATCACTATCATAATAAGTATGGAGGCAGTGTGAAAAAAAAACTCGAAAAAAAAAAGTCTGAAAAATAATTCAAGCGTACGAGCGGGCTAATACACATTTTAGTCCGCCAAAATCTCAATTTTTACATAACGGCAAACGCGCCACAACGCTCAACTGACAAAATGACGATAGCATGTAGGTTTCAGTTCTTGGTTTACATAGTCTCGTTGCCGTGAAAGGGCCGCCTAAATCTACGTACAGTCGGATCTCCACATAAAAACACCTCTCATCAGATACAGTCACCTCTACTTGACCGACATATTAACGTGTATTTCTGAGCGGGATGTCGGCAAGAATTTCGATATTGCTATCATTTTCAATATTGTACGTCTCGTAAAGTCAGAGGTTCAAAACGTAAAATTAAAAGTCAAACTCAAAACGTACTCACCAGCTCAGGAACAGCTTTGATTTTCTCTTGTCTAGCTATGAAGTTTGCAGGGAGGTCGAATGGGATGACTCGCTTTTTATCGCAGTCAGCCAAGGTCTGCAATTACAAAGACAAAGGTGGAATAGATTAGCAGAACAGATTACGAACCGTGACTGAAACGTAAATTAAATTCAAAAGAGGTAGGTAGTGAGGGGGGGGGGGGAGAGGTACTCTTTATTAAAAAAAAAAACAATGAAAGAACAAGCTACTCTGGGGTATGTTCAAACTGTTTTAAAAGAGGTCATGATACCTAGTTTCATGCTGGGAGTATGAGAAAGGATTGGCATTTTCAAGGGTCTAATTTAAGAAGGATTGAAGAAAAATATCAATTCGGGTTTTCAAAGAGGTCTCATGGCTTTTCTAAAGGGGCTAATTACTAATATTATTACAAACTGTTCAAGGGGATGGATAGAACGGAAAGTGTATGTAGCGGCTATGAG